GAATACAAGGTCTGCATATATACATGTGGGCAGGCCTCGGAGCACATACGGCAGCTGTTTTATGCCAGTAAAGACACAGGGGCCTTTCCCCTTTAAAGCTTCCAGAAGAGAAAAGTAAAACTTTCCGTGCCTTGCTCCTGCTGCCAGTGACCCTTCCCTAGAGGAAGCTTAGCTTATTTTAATACCATTGAAACCTCAGAGGATCTGCTCCCAATTAAAGAAGCACTCTTGCAGATGCTTTTGTGGGCAATGTAGATAGAAGACCATTCACATTTACACTCATGCCATCCTCTGAGCTGCCTTGCCGGAGATGAGAATGGGAGACGTGGAGGGAGGGAACAGAACCTTTGTAGGGAAGACAGCTGGAGAGAGAATGGAGGGCACCAGGCACTGACAGGCATGGAAGAGGGCCCAAGGCCTTCTCCGGCTGGGGTCTGGGTATCCCTGGGGAGGGTACCAGTGAAAGGGGGGCTTTGGGACCACTTTCCCATCTTCCTTACCAGACTGAAATTCCAGTTGATTTGGACCCAAAGCATGGGCTCCACTTGACTGTCTATGAAAGCTGTCTTATCCCATCAGGTGGGCTTCAGGCACAGGACTGAGGCTAGACAGAAACGGGCTTGGCTGGGGGAAAAGACAGACTTGTGAGAATCTGAAGTCGAGTACCCCCTCCCCGGCGGCCCTGTGAGTGGGCACGTTTGTGTTCCAGTCCTGGCGCCTGCATTTCTCTCTCCAGACACATGTGACTCAACCCTGCTGGCCTTGCCAAGAAGTCTAGACCCAAGAGTCTCCCTGTGGAGGGGTGGTCCTGGTGCTGACGCTGTTTCCTCACCAGCCTTGGCTGAGTCCTGTGCATGTGCAGCTGCACACTCCATTCCCTAAGTTGTTAGGCCTAGGGAAGGAGGACACACAGCTTTTATTCCCATTTTTCATAGCTACTTCTACTCCAGTTTGTGGGGACTAGGCACACTCTCCTGAGTATGCATACCACCCCACAGGCTCTGTTTACGCCTGAGAAAGTGTTGGGCCCACTCTAGAGTCTCTTGCCAGCCCCAGGACTGGTCTGGGATCACATTGGAGGCCCAACCTGGGTTGTCCTCAGCCTAACTTGATTGCTGGGCCCCATTACTTTCCCTGAAGCAAGTATATGTGTGGGCATGCCCACACACTCAGGACTGGACTTGCTGTTTTTTTTTTCCTTTCTCTCCCTTCCTTCCTCTTTCTTTCATTCTTTCTTTCTTCATTTCTATTGAGACAGGGTCTTTCTGTAGCCCCAGCTGTCCTAGAACTCACTATGTAGAGCAGGTTAGCCTCAAACTCACAGAGATCCGTTTGTTCCTGCATCCTGAGTGCTCAGATTAAAGGCTCATGTTACTACACCATGCTTGCCCTTTCTTTGAGTCTGACTTTGGTGTCCATGGCCCTTCTTGGAGAGCTTCAGGGATGGAAGATTTGAAATTGGAGGTTGCCTTAGTCCCTTGAAGGCTTCCTGTGACTACTCCTGGCCCGGAGCTAGCCTAACATGTCTGGACGTTCGTAGAGCACCTCTGTCTCAGGAGGGCCTATCTCTACTATTCCATGAGAGAGGCAGCAAAAGCCAGTCTATCTTTTGGTCACCTTTCAATCCCCTCTATTAGTAATATTTCACTGGGGGTCCCAGCTAAGGTTTCCACAGGGGTCTGGGTCTAATACTAAAAGCAGTATGAGTGCTCCAAGACATTTTGTTGTCCCGATATCCTCCAGGGCAGCCCAATGCTCTGAGGCAATGATGCCTATTCCAGGAGCCCAACTGCACAAGTAGAAGGGTCTCATATGCCTCCACAGCCTGCCAGCCTATCCCTGGCATTGTGTGGCTGGTGCCTGTCAACTGTTCTCCTTTTCCAACCTATATGCCAAGCACTGACACATGGCTTAGGCCCTGCTGCAACCCATGTCCAAGTTTTCCTCATGATCATGGGCTGCCTCTCACTTTCTATAAATCCCACTTTGGTCCCTAATCCCTCTACCAATGCAGGTCTTAGGGTCTTTTAGCCCCATCAGTATGGGCTCTTGATGCCTTATCTCCATCTCATCTCCCTTATAGAACTAGCATTCCCTGGGCAGGATGGCCCCTAGAGGTCTGCCCGCTCCCAACTCCTCCTTTGTAGGAACCCATCCCCATGTATCCACACCCTTGCCTGGCACAAACACTTTCCAAGATATAGCTAGCTAATGTTTAGACAAGGCTCTTTTGGAGAAATGCTTCCTTATGTTGAGCTTGAGTCTATATTTCCAGAAGTTTCTATGACTGGGCCTTTTCTTTCCTGTTGGTGAGCAGTCCCATGGCTCTACATTTCCACCCCAATCTCTAGTGAAAGATGACAGAGAGGTACCATGACTAAATTGGCCTTGGTGCAGGAGGCTAGCTTCCAGGGTTGTGGATCTACTTTGCTTCTCCAGGCTCTATCAATCCCTCACCTGGAGCTGTATAGAAAAGCTGCTGAACTGGGAAAAGATCTGCTTAGTGCTCTGGCTCCCTGGGACTGGGTGGAGAAGAAGGATTTTCTTCCAGAATACACAGGGGCTAGTTTCTTTTCCGTTCCTCAGGAGTAGAGGATATGGGGAGGGTGGAGGGAGGCAGCCACAGTGCAGTGGTTTCTCCCGCCAAATTCCCCAGTCCTAGGAAAGATCCACAGGAAAAACCCACAAGAATTTGAATGTCTGAGCTGGGGTCATAATTGAAATGAAAATTTTCTAAAAAGAAAGGAAGAAATAACAAAAACAGAAAAAGGCAGGGAAAAGTAAGAAAAAAAAGCAAAAAAATAAAAATAAAAAAATAAAAAAGGAAGAATAAGCCACCAAAAGACACTTCCACCATTGTAATACAGAAAGATCTGAGGCAGCAGCCTTGTAGAGGATAGAAAGGGGGCCTTAAAGTACTTTGCTATGAAATGGGCCCCTGAGCCAAGTTGCTGGGCCCTTATTCTCCTCAGATTTCTTCAGTTCAACTTGGGAGGCTCCATGTTCTGTCCTCTGAAGAACTTGACATTCCAAGTTATTACTAAGGAATTAGGTCCTGGTTTCTCAGCAGGGAAAGTCTAGGGACCCTGTTAGCCCTAAGCTCTTGCCTGTTCCTTTTCCAAGACTCCACTGAGAGACCACTCCAATCAGGGGATTTCAGTTGTTTGCTAGCAACAACTTCTCCCCTAACAACTACCCCCCCCCTGTGTGTGTGTGTGTGTGTGTGTGTGTGTGTGTGTGTGTGTGTGGTGTTTGTGTGTCTAATATCCACTTATGAGTAAGTACATACAGTGTTTGTCTTTCTGGGTCTGGGTTACCTCACTCAGGATGTTTTCAGGCAAATGGGCAGAACTAAGATATTTATTTTTATGTCCATGAGTGCTTAATTACATTTATGCCTTTGCAACATATGCATGCAGTGCAGTGTCCAAGTTGTTCAGAAGAGGGCATCAGGTATTCTGGAACTGGAGTAATAGACAGTTGTGAGAGGCCATGTGGGTTCTGGGAACTGAACCTGGGTCTTCTGCAAGAGCAGCCAGTGCTCTTACTAACAAAGACACCTCTCCAGCCCTCTGCCTTATTTTTGAAACAGGGTCTCTCATTGATCCCAAAGCTTCATCGTCTCTGTGCTGGGTTTACAGGTATGCTCCTAATCCTGACTTAAAAACAAAACAAAACAACACCAGTTGGGTCATCTTCCCAGAATCTATGCCTCTTTTTGTTTGTTTCTTTGTTTTTTGAGCACGTTCTCATGTAGTTCAAGATGGCCTGGAACTCACTATATAGTTGAGGCTGGCACTGTATTTGTAATCCTTCTGTGTCCACATTTAAATTCTGGGATTGCAAGCATGTGCCTCACACCTGATTTTTCCTTGCGTCTTGATCTGCCTCCATGATCCCTCTTTGAGGAGATGGCATTACAATGCAAACTGATCTTGGCTCCTGAGCAACTGTCACTCTACAATTCCTTCTTGTCTTATCCACTCACCTGATCCAGGGTTGGAATGATAGCAAAGTGAGGATTTGGAGTTCTAGGAATAAGGGGGCTGACTAATATTTCTCCAAATATGTTGAGCTTGAAAGGGCCTGAGATACAGAGAGATTTTTAAGTGGGCAGGAATGAGGCCAAAGGTAGGAAGGGGTGTGGAACCCAGCATAATGACAACAGTGAACATGTGCAGGTACTTTTAATTTGTCAGGCTCTGCCTTAGGAATTTCATAGAAATTATTGCCTTTTGTCATCCTCATTAGTAAACTATTGAGGTAGGTAGTTTCGTTATCCAACATTTATCAGAGGGCGAGGGAGCACAGAGGGGTTAAGGTAACTCATTCCAAGTTATCCAGTTTTCTGGGCATGATGGTGCATGCCTGTCATTACAGAGCTTTGGAGGCTGAGGCAGGAGGATCACAAGTTTGAAGTGAGCCTAGGCTACAAAGCCACAGCCTAATTCAAAAGCCCATAAACGAAACACAATATAAACAAAAACAAGTTATATAGCCAGTGTGTGGCAGAGCCACATTTGAATTTAAGAACCTTGTTTGACTTAGTGTGCGAGGAAAACAACATAGAACTCTGGGCCAGGAGATGGATTGCTTAAGTCTCAGTTCTTCTACTAAAGCTTGCCTTCCTCCTTCAAGTCCCATTTGCTATTGCCAAAGACAACCCGAACAAGGCAGGAGCGCCACCTCCTGGAAGAGCCTAACCTCTAGAAGTCCCGCGCTTTTACCTTCTAAAGGAGCTTTGGTAAATCCTCCTCATCCTTCTTCCACGCCCTGACGCTCCTTCCCCGCCTCTTTCTGCCCCGCCTTCAGCCCGCATATGTTCTGTCCTTGCCCTATCCACTTCGCTGCACTCTGCCCCCTGAGGCGCGCGCAGACAGTGGCCGAGCTGCAGCCCAATCGGAAGGCTCAAGGAGAAAGAGGGTGGGCCTCTGTCCCCTCCGTCTGACGGGTGGCTTAGTTCCTGAGGCGCGTAAGCTGGTGGGCGGAAGACGCAAGAAACTGGTGTACGGTTAGCAGTGTGGCTGTGGCCGCGGCCTGTAAGCTTGGGGGCGTGAACCGGTTGTGGTTCAGAACGCAAAACATGGCGGAGAAGGTTCCAGCTACCGCCGCTGGTGGCGACTCTGGTGACAGCTACTACGAAGATAAGGATGATGACCGCGTGGTCAAGGCGGCTGTGGAGGTGTTCGAGAAGCTGAAGGTACTGTGAACCATGGACTCCAGGATGGGAGACCACGCAGGGTCCTGCCTCAGGGCCTTTGGGAGCTTCCTGTGAAAATTGGCCACACTACAAGGACCCACAGTGTTGTGTCCTGGCAGAGCCCTGGGGGTGAATTCTGGGTCGTCTGTCTTAGCTTTTTTGGAGTTCCCGGACTTGTGCTCGTGCAGTCCTCATAGAACTTTGCAAGATCGAGGCTGGGAGCTAGGAGCATGTTAAGAAATGGAGGATACAGGCCCCAATCTCAAAGAGCTAGAAGTAGATGTAGTTGATTTTGGGAGACAGCCAACACATTGCCACTTTGTTGGGTTAGAGACAGGTATCCAGGTGGGCTTAAGGTGCATGCAGTAGTGTGGAACATGACTAAAGTCAGGGAGCTGTCCCAGGCCCATTGTCCCCCTCCCTAACCTCCCTTCAGTCTCTCCAATAACTTTCAATCTCCCTCCACTGCTCCTCAAATTTAGCCTTAGTTTTTCTAACCCACTCTTAGACATTTTTCTAGTTTTGTGGCCATGGCACCTAGAGGGAACACACTTAAAAGTGGTGTGGCAGCAAGGCACAGGGAACTTGGGGTGAAAATGAGAGGGACTTGGACTTTAGGCAAGATCATGAGGTGTTTCTGGCTGGCACCATGCTGTTGGTGGTGGTAAGTGTGTGGAAGGGTCAGGAAAAAGTCCTGAGCACAAACTGACAGAAATGCATTGCTACACTGCAGTAACAGGCTTCCTCCTGACTTTCCTTTTCCTTGCTTAGGGTGTCAACTGCCCCTTCCTCGACGGTCTGTATATTACAGAGTCAAAGACAATCCTGGAACTGCTGTGTAAGCCCTCAAAGTACCGGTTGGATATACTGGAATGGATGTGTATAAGGTAATGTCCTGTGTTCTTTCCATTTTCATGAGGTGTCTCCTTGGGGACTGTGTCCTCTTAGAGGGTTCCATAACCTAGACAGCTCCAGTAGAGCAGCTGGTTAACAGTGCTGGCTACAAACCCTTGACAAACACAATGGGAGTTGTGGATGTAGGTAAATGTTCTTCTGTGGGACTTTGACCAAGATGGTGGGGAGGTGGCTCTGGCAGTGCAAGATGAACTTTAATGAAAGTCCTTCCTGCATCAGGCCACCTGGACTTTCAATTGTGTTGAGGGATTTGGTGTGGTTCATGTTTACTGAGCTGTGATTACTATTGGCTTGGTGGGGCCACCTGATGATCAGGGAGGGGCATTGTCCAGAAACCCAGTGATAGAAAGCGGCTTCATTGATTGATGCTTACCTTGGGCTGGTGAAGGGGCAAAAGCATAGTCCAAGGCTTCAGAACCAAACCAGGGTTCTGAAGGATGGAACACTGGGCTGGATGGGCCTTTCCAACAGAATGGGAGTTGTGGATTTTTTTCCTTGCAGTTGTATATAGAACCAGTTCTACCCAGCTAGGAACTCTCCAAAGGCCAGATGTTTACTGAGGGCCTCATTGTTATGCTTATCTGGGTGCCTTCCTCAAGGCCAGGGCTGAACAGCCTAGTGACCAGAGACTTTTTCACAGGAGAGCTTTCAAGTGTTTGAAAGCAAAGTTCAGGTTTTTCTAGAAGCTGCTCCAACTCAGTCTTGACAGGGTAACACAAAAGCAGCATAGACAGCACGAGCAGGAATGGAGAGGGTGATGTAGCAATAAACTTTTTTAAAATGTAGAACTGGGAGCCTATGTTTGGGGCTTATCCCTGCTTTAAACTATGTATGGAATTGGGGTTGTTGAAAAGTATAAAATGAAGCAGAACTCAGTGGTACCTCGCCCCCCCCCCCAAATCTGGGAGGCAGACAGGTGGATCTCTGAGTTTGAGGCCAGACTGGTGTACATACTGAGTAAATGGCTACACTCTTCCTTTGTGCACCCATCACTTTAAAAAAAAATTATTTATTACATATACAGTGTTCTCCTGCATGTAAGCTTACAAGCCAGAAGAGGGCACCAGATCTCATTACAGATAGTTGTGAACCACCATTTGGTTGCTGGGAATTGAAATCAGTACCCACAGAAGAGCAACCAGTGTTCTTAACCTCTGAGCCATCTCTCCAGCCCTGCACCCGCCACTTTTTTTAAATGGGGGAACCTTGAGTATTTACATTTTTAAGTGAAATTTGTCTCACATATTTCCTGTAATAATTGATGGTAAGAATTAGATGATATCAAAGTAATCATTTAAAAGTGGCTTTTCACTGTCATTTAGCATGTAGAGGGAATTCTCTGTTTAGAGAGTAGGTATGGAGGGGTGGTGAGTCAGGCACGTGACTGATTTTGCTATTTTTCCACAGGGTGTGTCCCTCCTTGCAGGACAAGTTCAGTTCACTGAAAGGAACTGCAGTGGATGTGAAGATACAGGGTAGGTCTCTTTATGGGAGTGTAGCATTTGATGGTAAATTCTGTACAATTTTGAGCTTGGTCATAGTGTCTCACTGAGTTGTGAGATTTCTGTGGACTGATTTATTATTTTGTGTGCTATATGCTTTGTGGCTATTATTAGCACCTTCTAGAATCAGGGCCTGCCCTGATGTGGTATATGGGAGGGTTCTCACAAGACCAAATAGTACATTGGGCTACCACAGCACTGACAGGTGGGGAGCAGGTTCTTTCTGATGTCATCAGAGGTCTGTCTTCACTGGTTTGTGTGTGTGTATACTTAGTCCACATGGTATCCTCATGAGTCCGTGATTGCTCTTTGATGTGGTTTGCCTTATAACCTCGTTAGTCTGATTTTTTTTTTGGGGGGGGGGTTAGAAACTCTTTAACCTAGTATGAAAGTTAGATAAAGTTAAGCAAAAATGCCATTTGTAAGAGGCTAGTTTTTTCTGCTTCATTGTAGTGTAGCCAAACATTGATAAAATTTAATAAGGCTAAGCTTTCCATCAATCAGTCTGTGTGTATTTCTGACCACTGCAGAGTGGGTGAGCTGGACTTGAGCCCCAAACTGTGTACCAGCTGGCATTGTCAAATCAGTTATTTGGGGAGAGTTGTCCTCTTGGATACAGGAGGGTGTTGGATTTCAGAATAACCAAGCCTTCATGCCATCCCCATGTTTCTTGGAAGCAGTGCTTGAGTTCTCTGGTGCATACAGGAAAGCCCTGGCCTACAGCCTGTCCTCATCAATTATGGTTTGAACTTCACTAGATCCAGGCTCAGTTCCCTCTTTGAAGGTGAGGCCTTTGCCTTGTTCACCTCCTGGGAATGAGTTGAGTAGTTGTCTGAGTGGAAGTAGGAGAAATGAGGACAGGTAGTGGTTTGTTCTTGAGTTTTGCTGACATGTGAGACAGTGTTTGATATAGTATTGAACTGCGTCACCATTGTGGAACTTAGATGATGGGTGACAGATGATAAACAGACAAAGCTATGAACTTCTCAGTGGTAGGGTGGTGAGAAGGGCTGTAAATTGCCAGTTAAAGGAAAGGTGACTTAGGGAGAGTTGGGAAAAGGGTAGTTTTATTAGCAGAAGATGGCAGAATGGAGGAACTGAGCAGAAGGAGGCTGAGAGTAGTGTCCAAGGCAAGAAACAGCAAATGCAAAGCACTGATATGTGCTATGCTTGGCAGCTTTGAGGAAGAGTAGGAAACAAAGATGGCTGGGGTAGAGGCGATAAGGAAGTATAGGAAATCAGGAGATAGGGATAGGTACTGCTAGGCCTTTAGGCCATGGAAGGGCTTTGGCTTTTATTCCAAGGAAGGCTTTATTGTCTGTTGGGTTCAGTACACCCAGGTAATAGCACAGATTTTGCAGTGACTGAGGCAAGATCTTGGGGAATGGGTGGAAAGGCGCAGGATCTGTTGAGAGGAGGAAGACAGAGTCAGAAGGGTTTAAGGGCTGTGGTTGAAGCAAGCTGACTTGGGGACACAGTAGCATCTGCAGACTATTCCCCGGGCCACATAGATGCTCTACTACTTCTTGCAATGAGTCTTTCATAGCATGTCCTACAGAGGTGTGCACCTGCTCTGCTGCTGCTGAGGCATAGCCTGGCCTGTGCGTGGTGGTGGTGGTGGTGAAGGTACTGCCTGAATGCTGGTGCTGGCCTAATGCTTTCTGCCCTTTGCTTATATGCTAGATGGCCATGCAAAGATGTGCTGGATACCATGGAAGATGTAACTAGGTGTTCCCTGTTCCTTGAGGGGCCTCAGACTCCTTACCTGTAAAATATAGCCTAGAGTCATCTTCAAGATCATGTCAGGAAAATGGGCCATGAAAAATACTTGGGACATGGACAAATGTGAGGCATGGGTCTTTTTGCTTTAACCTCATGAAGTCTCTAAAAGGGTGGCATATGGTGCATGTTGGAGGTCTTCTGATTTCTGATGGCTTCTCTGGCAACTGGTCATCTATGTCTTGTATACAGAGTATGGTAAGTAACCCCTCATTCACTTCCAGGTCTGGAAATACATCTAGAAAGAGAAGCCTTAGTACACTATATGCTCTGAATTCTGGGATGTCTTGTATCCTCCTCTTTTTGGGTGGGTGTCTGTAATGACAAGGTATTTGTATTCTAACAGAAATGGTGAAGCTAGGCCATGAGCTGATGTTGTGTGCACCAGATGATCGGGATCTTCTGATGGTAAGAAAGTGCCCTCTTGTGTCCTAGGCTGGTGAGTGGATGGGAGAGGCTTCTGGCTCCAGACCCTGCATGCCTGGCAAGACTGCTTCTCTAGCCATCCCCAGGTTAAGCACTGCCAGAAATCTTGGAGGGAGATAGAATGGGGAGGCCCATAGTGGAGATGGAAATATGGGCAGTTATCTGGCTGGTATCATGGTATCATGGCAGGTGATATACAGTGTCAAGATAAGTAGTATATTCCAGTGACTGTCACACCTGAGCAGACTTTTTTTTTTTTTTTTTTTTTTTTTTTAGCTCCATTTCCTAGCCAGGTGATAACAACTCACTTGAGATAACCTGGTGGCAGAACTACGCCTCCAACTCAGAACTGTGGCTCCTAAGCTCATGTAATTTATCCCACCTGAGGGTCCCTGATCCATCTCATAGTTAAGTCAGAGAAATGGTACCTTATCCTTAAAATGTCTAAATTTCAAATAATTGTTTCCAGTTTTTTTTGACTATTGTAGATGATGGGGTTGTGGAAAGTCTGTGTGTTTTTGCTTGATTCCCATTGTCAGATCTCTTGGATATGTGCTAGGTACATAGGGATTCTGTGTTTTCTGTTTTAAGGAACTAATGAACCATTGTTGGTGGGCCTGTACTTCATTGTGCTGTTGAATCTCCAGTGAGGTTTGTTTTTAAGTAGAGCACGTTCCCATGTCTTTCCTGCCCCTGGCCCTATGTCAGCCTCCTTCACTATGGGAATATTTGTTACCTTAGTGAGACAACACAGATAAATATAAGTGTATGGCCTAAGTGTATATCCAATGGGCTATGCGTCTCTTATTCTATTTTCTGGTTGAAATTGTTACATGGTTCTTTTTTCTTCTAGTTCTTTGCTGACACTTTGGTTTTCATTTCTTGTTCATATTTGCTTATTCAAGCATTTTTCTGATGGCTGCTTAAAACTGTCAGTTCATCTGCTTCTCTTTAGTCCCTGTATTGGCATCTAATGAGCATCTTTCCTCAGGCAAGTTGAGGTCTTCATGGGTTTTCATGTGCCAAATCATTTTGGGTTTTTTCCTGGAAATGCTAGTTATTATTTGGATCTTGTTAAATTTTGTGTAGAATAGAGATCCTTATGTTCCAGCAGGCTTTAGGCTTGCTTTATTTTATGCAGCCAGGACCACACCCCTCCTCTCTCAGGTTGACCACTGGATGGCTCACAACTGCTTTTAACTCCAGTTCCAAGGGAGATAATGGTCTCTTCTGGCCTCCATGGGTGCTTCACACATGTACACAGACATACATGCAGGCAAAACACTCAGACACATAAGTAAATAAATTTTTAAAGTTGACTATGGTGATGGTTACTTGGCTCTTTGATTAGCCTAACAATCACTGCACTATACACTTTAAAATTTGTGGACTGAATTAAATTTTAACAAACAAACAAACAATGAAAAAAGAACATGTAGGAGAACATCAAGTGCAAAGTATCTGGGATGGTCTGTGCTTGCTGCGTTCAGACAACTGTTAGAAGGCTGGTTAGGCTAGAGTAGAATGAAAACAAGGGGAAGGGCAGATGTGATGGGCCTTTGTAGTTGTTTTGCTTTTTGGCTCTTTTTGGGGGGCCTGCCACTTAGCTTCCAAATAAATACATGGAGTCCTATTCTTAGTTGTAAGTACCTGGCTTTAGCTTGGCTTGTTGCTACCCAGCTTTTCTTATCTTCAATGAACCCATCTCCCTTTTCCCTCTGGGCTGTTCTCTTTCTTATTTCTATATATCTTACTTTCCTAATTAATCTCTGGCTGGCTGGGTGGCTGAGTGGCCCCTGCAGTCCTCCTTTCCTTGTTGTTGCTCCTTTTTTCTTCTTTTCTCCTCCTATTTATCCTCTCTGCCTGCCAACCCCGCCTACCCTTGCTCCCACCTCACTATTGGCTGTTCAGCTCTTTATTATAAGCACCAGGTGTTCTAGACAGCCACAGTAACACAGCTTCACAGAGTTAAACAAATGAAGCATTAACAAAAGCCACACACCTGAAAATAATGCTCTACCACAGTGGGACAGGAACAGCAGTGGCTAAAGTGTGAAGATTGGGTGGATGGAGTGGACCTTGAAGGACCTGTTGGCAGGTTATAGCAGTGACCAGGCATGTGAAACAATAGCTTGAATGCCAGTGATAGTGGGGGAAGTGGAGGAGTGGCTAGGTTCATCCAGACCCACTGGGTTTGCTGAATATAGTAAGGCAGAGGCAGGGGCAAGACCCAACATTCATACTCTGGGAAGGTCTGAATAATGAATTTACAAAGACTCACACTTTACCGTATCTCTAGACTTTCCCAGAGTGATTGTTGGGTCTTGCCCTTTGCTGGGGACCAGAGAGGAGACAGATAGGGTATGGTGTAGTGATAGCTTCAGTAAGGTGGTCACAGACCAGCCTGCTGGAGGCTAACTCTAGGGTCTTGTAAGGGCTGGATCCTGGTCATCCAGAACAGTTTTAAGTAGATTTGGGGAGCTTATAGGGAGACATAGGCCAGGACTACATGGGGTAAGTCTGTGATGATGAAACTCTAAGCAGGCTATACAACTATTCTAGGGTATTTGACACGGGGAGGTAATGGAGCCAACTTTCTACTAAGTGGGAATGATAGGCTTGGGTGTCCCAGGCAACTGGCCAAAGCCTTGTGCGATCTTAAATGACAGCCACTCTTGTGTTTTTGTCTGGGCTGTTTCCAGTTTAAGCAGGGTACTTCCTTTTACCCCAGGCTGCCTTGCAGGAGTGTTTCTTGGGCAAATAGGGAAACTAAGTTAACATGAAAGAGTAAAAAGTGTTCCAGAAACCAGTGTCAGGTTGAGGACATGAGTTGGGGTGTTTTCAGTGGGTCTTGCTAATTTACTCATGCAGGTGGAAGTGAGTCTTGGAACTGTACTTCCCCAGAGACTGCTCCTCACCAGGGCCACTTGGCCCTTTTCCTTCAGCATCTGTATTCACCACTGGCTTTCAGTTTTTCTTGAAGGGGATTTTGTAAGGCACTTAGTAATGGTGATTAAGTGACTTTGATTATTCTTCCTCAGAACTGTGCCCCAGGCCAGGGTGGTAAAAAGGTAAACTTAAGGGATAGGCCTTGCTTGGTGCCCTATTTTCATAGGAATTTGTGGACTGATTGTGGCCTCTAAGATAGTGTCTGCTCTTAGGGAATTATTGACTTTATAGAAGAAGGCAAATCTTGGACTCTTCACTGGGCAGCTCCCTGCATCACATGGGCAGATGGGCAGGCAAGAAACCTGGTCAGCCCTACATGAGTTACTGCACAGAAACCTGTGGCCTTCCTGATGGAAAGTCTAGGCCCTGCTGGAGAATAGGCTACCTCTAGGCTTCTTGTTGTACCTGTTGGTCTCTGCCATTCTTGGCCAGGAGGGATAGAGTAAGGATATCAGATGTTTACTTGGAGGTATCCCTGAGAAATAGGCTACCATCAAATCCCTGTGAGCTCTGTTCTGTTTTCATGCCACTCACCCATTGAATAAGCCTTCTCTAGCTGTGTGACAAATTCACACTGTAATATGTTTTGACAACATTTTGCATTTGCCATATGCTTCCAGGTGTCATTGCAGCCTTAGAAAGAGTACTTTGTGGCAGAAGTCTGAGGCTGCTATTGCTGAGCCAGTTTAAGAGGCTACCAGCAAGGGTCAGGGACAGGGAAGAGGAATTGTCTGGCCAGGCTCCTTGCCATTGACCACAGCAAGGGCAGCACAGGATCAGACACCTGGAACAGTTGTCTAGGCCTGGCGTGGGTCTAGTGGCAAATGTGTGTGGCTTTCCCTGCCAGGGCCGTGAGTGTCCCCAGAAGCAGCTGCAGTTCATGGACCAGTTGCTGGATAAGATGCGGAGCCTGGCCACTGGATGCTCCAGTAGTTCTAGGTAAAGGTGTCAGTGGCACAGGCAGGTGCCCTTGAACTAGTCTTGGAGATGGTAGGGTGGTGAGGGAATGTATTTTTATCTGGGGTCTCTTTGTCCCCCTTTAGAGGCAGGAACCATATATTGGTCCAGTAATTACAGGACTGATAAATTGAGACAACTCTCGCTAGTCACTGTCTTGGGGGCTGTGGGCTGGTCAGAAGTTAGTCAGTGACCCAGCAAGGGGTAGCTGTGTTGGGTCATGGCCTGAGATCCCTGCACTATAGACCTTGGGGGAACTAATCTGTATGTATAGGAGGGGAAATAACACCTGGGTGTCTGCAGGCAAGAGGACATAAGCGAGGCCAAAGCAAGCACAGGCTGGGAGGGATGCAGGCAGTAGAGTACCCCATCTTGGGACTGGTGGGCTGGTGCTCCAGCTGATACCAGTGTACTCAGTGCCTGCCCTGTTTTTGCAGCCTGAAGGAACACCTTGAAGACACCACAGAGAAGAATGAAGCCTTGCTGGGGGAGCTCTTCTCTAGCCCCAACCTGTGGGCGATCTTGAAGCCTGAGAATGACCCATGGCCCCTGGACATGCAGTCCTCTCTCAACAAGCAATGTGATGACCTGCCCAAGTAGGTCTCTGGAGGGCTCTACCTAGTATCACCCCAACGTCTGTCCACTAAGGCAGACCTCAGGTGACCTACTGCCTACAGAAGCAGTAGCAGAGAGCTGACAATCTCCCTCCCTTTTTTCCCCTGCAGGGCTGGTCCCTCTACCCAGTCAGAGGGAGAGAAGGTGGCAGATCTGGCCAGGCAGCTGCAGGAGAGTGCTACTAAGCTTCAGACACTTCAAGACCAGGTGAAGGGCACCAGCTCTGGGGATTGTGGGACTTGGGGATCAAACCCTGCTGAGTTCTAGGGCAAGTGGCGTTCCCCCTCAGCATGATGTGCCATGGGAGTATACAGGTAGGTGCTGAGGGTCTGAACATGAAAGGAAAGAATGTATTTTAGATGGCAGCTGTGTACCAGGCCTGAATGTGCACCTTCTCAAATTCAGCCCTACCGGCATTTGTTGACCAGGCTAGATATTTGGCTATGGAGACTGATGCCTATGTAAATATTTGTCCCAGGGCTAAGGCTCCAATTGTATCCCCCATCACCTCCTTTATATAGACTTTCTTCCTTGTCAACCTGTCCTATGTTATGTTAACCTGTGCTATGTTATGGAGGCTTGTGGCAGCCCAGGCTGGGCAGGCAGCCTCAAGTGACTGTTACCTTTGGTTTTGCAGTGCTTTGCACAGCATAAAGCAGGGACTGACACCAGTACCATAGACCAGAAGCTTCGTTTGGTCATCTCCGACTTCTATCAGCTCATCTTGGCCTTCCTGCAAGTCTATGATGATGAGCTGGGCAAGTGCTGCCAGCGTCCACTACCCAGCCTTCATCCAAGTGGCCCCATCATTCAAGCTGTCTATCACAGTCTGTCTTCCTGTGGCCAAGTAAGATACCTCTCTGTGCTGCCCAGCATGTCGAGAACACGTGCCCACCAGGCTTGGGCTCGGGATCTTGGCAACCTTTTGATGTCAGGCATAGGGGCTGGGAAAGAGCTTGATAGGTCTTGGCCTGAGGTGATGTGGACATTTAGGAGGTTTACATTCTTATCTCTCTTACCCCTAGGGAGGTTCATGCATTGCCTTCATTGGGCTCTACTTGACTCTGTATGGTGTCCTCGTCCCATGTTCTATGCTAGTGTTACTTTCATATGCCCAAACATGACATGCTACCTCTGATCTTGTGTGTGACTGAGTACTAGGCCAAACAGACAAACAAGACAGGCAGTTGGTTCTCAGAGGCCAGGCCCATTACTGTAGCCACAATGTGTACAACTCTGACTTTGATTGACAGTGCCATGATGCTGATTTTAGATTATAACAAGAAAATCCACGACTTCCCAACCTCTCATGTGAGTCTCCCAGTAGAGGGAAGCTCTCATCACAGGCACATTTTGGTAGGATGTTTCTTTTTCCACTTGGCCATTTACCTTTGCTCAGGCTGGCTAAGAACTGAGGGCTGCCAGAGTAACATAATAGTGTGGAGTCACCACTGAGCCAGGAAGGAGACAGATTTGAAGGGCAGCTCTCCAGCTGAGATTTCTGTCTCTGTTGTAAGCTTGGGTGAGAAGCAACAGATGCCATCTTTAGGTCAGACTAGCCTCACTGAGGCCTGCATGTCCTTTCTGTCTTGGCAGTTGTTGAGAGCAGTCATGGAGATTGCAGACACATCTACTGAAGCTATGGAAGCAGCAAGGAGGCAGCAAGGAGAGCCTAACTGTTGGGGCAGCAACAACTCGGGGATAAGCCTTGGTAAGTGCCTGGGGCTGAGGGGCAATTTGTCCCTATCTACTTATTCCAAATACACTCCGTGTCAGGGCCTCTTCTTCCTGTGCTGCACCAGTCCTTAGGAGACTGGCTGCTTAGGTTTTTATTTTAATGCTTGCTTTCTTTTTCTTGAAAAAAAAATGCTTCCTGCATTCCTGACAGGAAATTGGGATAACTCAGAGATGTGTAGAGGTAAAACTAAAAGAAATTAAACACATTCTGGCAACCACAGGTGCTGAGTGTGAGATTTTTCATCAGTTTCTTCTATTCTTTGATTTATTTTCATTTCCTTTTTGTTTATGTTATTGCTATTAGATAGGAGCAAAATTATAACTGAATTTAATTTTAATTTTACCCTTCCTCCCTTTGTTTCTTTTTGTACTTTTTTGAGGCAAGGTCTTTGTATATAGCCCAGGTTTGCTTTGAATTCATGGTGATTCTCTTGCTTCAGCCTCCTCAGTAGTGGGAAGAGGCCTATAACGCCATGCTTGGTCTTCCATTAATGAGTGTCCATGTGTTTCAATAAAATTTCATGTATGAAAATAGGCAGTTAGTGTTGGTTTGTTGACCTTGCCATATAGTGCTACATCTTACCCTATGCCTTTGAGTTTCTATTGCTATGATAAAACACCATGATCATGAGTAACTTGGGGAGGAAAGGGTTTATTTTATCTTATAGTTCCACACCACACTCCATCACTGAGGGAAGTCAGGGCAGCAACTCAAGGCAGGAACCTGGAGGCAGGGAATGATGCAGAAGCCATGACAAATGCTGCTTCCTGGTTTAGTCAGCCCGCTTTCTTATATCACTCAGGACTACCAGCCCAGGGGTGGTACCACCTACAATGAACTGGGCCCTCCCATATCAATAATCAATCCATTTGGTGGAAACATTTTCTCAGTTGAGTTTCCAACCTCTACCCAAGTGACTCAAGTTGTGTCAAGTTGACATAAAAGTAGCCAACACATCCCGTGTCACACTGTGCTGTCAGTGCTATAAATCTTCATCCCACTCTTCCTGGGCTTTAAGGCTTTGTTTCAATTGAGGTTCTTTTGTCTATTTGTTTGTTTTTGAGTCAAGACCTGATATTATAGCTCATGTTCACTTAGAATTCACTATTTAGCTTAGACTGGCCTCAGACTCACAAGCAGTCTACCTGTCTCAGCCTCCTGAGTCCTGAGTTTCTCCAGGATGTCTTCCTGAGAATAGAGTTCCTCCATCCTGCCACATTGTTTGGCTCCCGTGTGATGTCCTATAGCTGCACATCCCCATCAGCACTATCTGTGGCCTGGCTTGGTATCTGATGATAGGTAGGACATGTATAACATTGCTGCATGTTTATTCTGTAAGTACTCACTAAGATACAGAATAAACATGTATATTTGCTTATTTTATTGGTTATTTAAGCTTTCCTTTTTGTGAAGTACCTGGTCAAGTCTCGCTTGTAAAACTTGATATTTTATCATTGATTTATAGTTTGTTTTACATATGGTACATAGAGGTCCTTGGATGCTTAATGTAGCATGCATATCTTCTCCCACATTGAGGCTTATCTTTTAATAACTTGTGTGGTCATTTGTTATACAATTTACATGTAGTCAAATGTAGCCATAATTCTCTTATGGGAAGCATCTTTTGAATTTACTCTAGATAGCATTCCTACTCTGACAAGGAGGAGGCTTTATATCATTCCCTTTTATGGTTAGGTTAATAATCTTACCAGACGATAGCATGAGATGGGAGTCTGATTTCATTCTAGTGTATATGAATACACTTAAATCCCAGTAGCACTTAATGGAAACACATTCTTTTCCCCATTGGTCTATAAACCCATCACTCCTGTTAGTTATATTAGTGCTACATGTGTGAGTCTCTGTGTTCTCTGGTCTGTTTCTCTCTCTTTTTCTGTCTTTGCACCATAGAGTTAATAAAACAAATGACAAAATAAACCCATAAGATAAAAATAGTTAAATAGTTTTTTTTCTTTTCCCCTCTCCCTTCACTGGAGATTAAATCTGAGCTTTATGTAAGTTGTACAAATGAATTGCACCTTAGGCCTATTTTAATAATAGCTTTACTAAGCTATAATCCATATAACATAAAACTCGCTCTTTCAACAGTGAACAATCTAGTTTTTAATTTTTTTTAAGAATACTCATACAGTTCATGCAGTTACATGACCATCATGGCTAAGTCGGGAATATTTTTTAAATATTTATTTTTATTTCATGTATATGGGTGTTTTGTCTGCATGTATGTCTGTGCACAATGTGGATACATTACTCACTGCGGCCATCAGATCCCTTTGTGACTAGAGTTGCAGACAATTGTAAACTGCCATGTGGTTGCTGGGAATCAAATCCAAGACCTCTGGAAGAGCACAAGTGCTCTTAACCTCTGAGCTATCTCTTCAGACCCTAGAATATTATCCCCTGAAAGGAAGTTTGGTACCAGAAGCTGGGTGTGGTGATATATGGCTTTAAATCCTAGCACTTGTGAGGCAGAGGCAGGTGAATTTCTGTGAGTTTATGGTTAACCTAGTCTATATAGTAAGTTTCAGGACAGCCAAAAAAAAGAAAGAAAGAAAAACAGCAATCTTTTTCTCATTTTTCCTCAAACCCTAATCCTTGACAAATACTGATCTGCTGCCTTTTTCTACAGCCTTGCTTCTTGTGGAGATTTTTCTTATAATGGAATTGAACAGTGTGTGACCTTTTTCCTGCCCCTTTTTCACAGAGCACAGTAATTTCAAGGTTCATCCATGTGCTGCATTCTTGTGTATGGTTGATATGGATGTGATGAATAAATAAAATATTTTTGTTTATTTATCTGCTGGGAGACAGACCTACAGGCTATTCCTTCATTTTTGCTCTTATGAATAATGCTGCTAGATTTGTGTGTGTGTGTGTGTGTGTGTGTGTGTGTGTGTGTGTGTGTGTGTGTGTGTGAGTGCATGTGTTTTTGATTCTCTTGGATCTAAAGCAGAATTGCTGGGTGGGCCATAGAAACTTTTGCTAAAATGTTCATTTTCTCACCACCTGTCTTTAGGATTACATTTAACAACCTCAAGCAGGGACAAATTCCTTCTGTTTTTATTGATCTTAGAATACCTTCCTTACTTTCTCCTTCATTTAAAATTCAATGTTTTTACTAATTCTCTGAGAATATTATACATGTACTTTGATCATAGTCAATCCTTATTTTTACCCTTAATGTCTTCCAGATTCATCCCTATTCATCTCCTACTTGATGTCCTTTTTAAAAACACGACTATCCTTACTCTAGCATCCATCAGCTGTCAATAGCTTCATCACTAGGGGTGGGGGCTTGTGAGCTGCCCCACCTTCATGCTAGAATGTTGACAGGCTTGATGTTGTGTAAGCAATCACTGCCACTATGAGTCATGAGTGCAATATCCCTGTCACATTCAGAAGGTACTGTTTTGCTTGAGTACTCCCTAACCTCTGGCTCTTACAGTCTTTCCACATCCTCTTTCTTGATGTTTCCTGAGCCTTAGGGGTTGGAGGTGTGATACAGATTTCCCATTTGTGAGTTAGCACTCCATAGTACTTTGACTAGTTGTAAGGTTCTGTTTTAACCACCACAAACATCTTTTCAGATGCATCTGATTTTCTCCTTCATTTTAAAGGGCCATTTGGCTGTTTGTTCTTAGATGGCAACTCTTCTATACGTTGACTATATCATCCCACTGTCATTTCGCGTTCATAGCTTCTGATATGTAACCAACTTGTATTCTTGTTGAAGGGCCTTGTATGTAACAGGTCTCTGTTGTTTTTGCTTGTCTCTGCCTTTTGTCAGTTCAGTTTGATGTCTTGGTGTGAACTCCTCTTAAGTTTAACACTCACTTTGGAGGTCTCTGGACTTTATAGATGCCTGTTGACAGCTCTTTCTTCTTTCCCACTTCTTGTTGACTCAGAGTCTCAGGGTCAGCCAGGAGGAGAACTTAGTGCCTTCTTGGGATTCTCCTGGGCATTTTCACTGTCGTGGGATTTTTAGGTCCTCTGGGGACTGCTTACTCCCTGGCCTTTATTTCCCAGCTTTTTGATTGGTATATTATTTTCCCCAACTGTTTCAGTGAGCACAAAGTAAATCACTTCACTATAACGTTTTCAGTGATTTTTTTTTCCCCAAGTAGTGGCCTTAGATTATAGCTTTTGTGCTGTCTCCTTTGGGGACTTTTTAAAGGGTCTCACTAAGTTGCTCAGGCTGGCATTTAAGTTGTGATACTCCTCCCTCATTCTCTCAGTAGCTCAGACTATAGGCTTGTACAATCTGGCCCTGCTTGGGAATATCTCTGACTGCTGGCCTTCTTTCTATGTTCTGCCATGGCACACACCTGCCACATGTATATTAGATACTTGGGAGTCACTTCTATCTTATTGAGCTGTAAGAGGATCCTCCATCTTAAAATTTATTATACTATTTACCCTAATCACCAGTGTTACTGCAGCTCTCACTCCAGTCTATATAATTACTATTAGTAAATTGTTCATAATCCATGCTATCATTACTGTAATAATGATCATTAATAGCCTTAACAGTGTCCCGCTCACTGGTGAATAGGGTATACTAGTACTGGTAGCAAGCTTGGTGATGTGAGCTAGGCACCCCCACCCCCAGCCTTGGGTTCCTGGTGGCCTCAGTGATGTAGAGATGGTGAGTAGAGCAGGGCTGGGCTCTTGACTCAGCTCCTGTCAGTGCAATTCCCGATTTGCTTTGAGGCAAATTCTTGGGCACTAGATATGCCCACAGAAAAGGACCACTATCAAATCCACCCAAAGTCACTTGAACCTTTGGCTGCCCATTTTCTACCTGACTCATTATGGATTTTGGCCTCTATGAGAAACTATCTTCCATTTAGCTGGGAGAGGTCTGTTTCTGTGTCATTTTTCCCTCTCACTGATCTGGATGCTGTAGCTCAGCCCCGTTAGTGACATGTCCCAGAGTATCAAGAGGCTGTGTGCCTCGTGGTTTCTGGCTTTATGTGAATAAGTGCTACTGTAACAATGCCAACTTATTTAGAGGACAAAGTGAGTTCTCTGATGCTCTGATGGTGAAACTAACCTAGCAGCTGCCCCAGAAAAGTAATACTCTGGAGGACACATAGGTGCTCTGCTCTCTTGTGGAGAAAACAATGGCAGTGAATAAGCAAATCAGCTTCTGATGTGAAGCCTGCCCCCTTGCTTCTGAAGGTTCATATGATGAGGGCTGGCCTTACTGCTTCTTCCTGAAGCCATATCATCTTGTCAAGCATTCATATTCTCCATGGAACTCTTCTTCAAGATCCCTTCACTGGACAATTTCAGAAAAGCATGGGGTTGGGGAGTACCTTTTACCCAGGCTCCACACCGTAATACTACAGGCTTTCCAGGGTAGGGTAGGGCAGGGTAGGGTACAGAGAACCAGTATGATGAAGAGAGAAGACCTAGATGAAAAGGAAATTGTGCTTGGAGAACTTTCAAACTATAGAACAGGCAAATACACCTGGATAAGTGTGAAAGCCCAGCTGAGAGGGAAGACCAGAAGACAGTGACACTGGAAGCACTGAGTCTCTAGGAGCAGAGAAGTAAGCTACAGGACGCAAAAGCTGCATCCACAGAAACAGGGCGAAGTAGGCTTTCCACCAGGTGGGAAAGCGTGAGCTCAGGACAGGGTGAGGCCCAGGGTCTAGATTCAGGCATTGATACAGGCAGATGCCACAAAGGGAAGGGCAAGGCAGAATCTAGCAGAAGAAACACATGGAGACAGACAGATGGCTCAGCAGTTAAGAGCACTGGCTGCTTTTACAGAGGACCCGGGTTCAATTCCCAGCAACAACATGGCAGCTCACAACCATCTGTTACTCCAGTTCCACGGGAGCCAACACTAGGCATGCACATGGTGCATATTAAAACATGCAGTCAAAACATTCATACACATAAAATAAAAATAAACAAATTTTAAAAACAGAAATGCATGTTAAAAATAAACAAGCAAAGAACTTAAAATTGTACAGAAATACCTCATTGGTAGTCAATAATTGATCAAGGCTCTGGAGGTAGATGCTCTTACATGATGTGTCCCTCAAAACTTGGCAGCTTGGGCTGTAGCAGCTGCTTCTGGAGATGTTCTTCTTCTAAAGTAGTGCTTCTTAACCTATGGGTGGTGACCCCTTTGGGGATTGCCTATCAGAAATCCTGCATATCAGATATTTATAATTCATAACAGCAGCAAAATTACAGTTGTGAAGTAGCAATGAAATAATTTTATGGCTGGGGGTTGCTACAAGATGAGGAACTGTATTAAAGAGTTGAGAACCACTGCTGTAAAAGCCTTAGAGAAGTTCTGTGTTGCTAGCTTTGTTACTGTGTGCACATATTGGTATCTGATTAAAACAACTCACTATCCAAAGCAGAGCAGCTCCTGGGCTTTGAGGTAGCAGGCACTCAGCCTGGCCTGAGCCTTGATGCTGTGCTGGTCAGTGTGACACAGCTGGAAACCCCTAAGCTTCTGGCCTACCACCAGTCAAGGGACCCATCCCCCCTTACCTTAACAGCTCCCTGATCAGGGTTTAAAAGTTGGACCCCCAAGCTCCAAGGCTCTTGAGGACCAGGTGGGAGTGGTCCTCTTATTGCCTGGTTATACCCAGTGAGAGCCTGAATAGAATGGGGAAGACAGGGGCTCTGGTAGGAAGGCTGGAGGGGGTCTTATATAGACTCCCTGCCTCTTTCAAGCTTCCAGGCTCTGAACTCACTTTGCTGTTTGTGTTTCTTTTTCTGTATAGCCACCAGGATTGATGAAGTAACACAGAAGTACAAGATCCTCACAGACAGATTGCACAGAGACACAAGATAATATGGGGGTAGAAGACCCTCCCTGGACCTGTCAGGAGGGGTAGTTCCAGTCCTGCTAATGTCTGCATGGATTCCACTTGATTGGTATCTACATTTTGGAGGAAAGAAGGAAGAGGGAAGTAGATTAGGCAGGCAGAGATGGGTTGGATAGGGAAGCTAGAAATAAAAAACTTTACACTCTGAGAAGTTGCCATTTGTTTCTACTTATCGCTCTCTTCCCTTCTGACCTGAGATGCTCAGCCTCTCTTCTTCTTCTCATCCCTGCTATTCGATGTTAGCCTGATGGTAGCCCTTCTACTACCCCAGTGGCCCTTGGCCTTTTTGCTCTTTGCTGCTTCCATTCCGTTTTGATACTGCCTGGTTAGTTTGACCATGCCTAGCCCTGGAAGTCTCAACCGAACCTTGACATGACCCCTCTCCCTGCCCCTGTGCCCTTCACCTCCTGTCCAACCTCACGGTCCCACTGAGGCCCTCTTTGCCATAACCTTAGGAGCCAGCTTGTTTCTTCCTTCTTTCCTAGAGTGCTAGGGAATTCTCAGTGTGGCCTGACGAGTTGTCCAGGAAACTGCTCTCTGGGCTTCCCACAGTGACCCAGAATCTTCTTGAGTAGAGTACCTGTCACAGCCACCTCCCTCCCTTCGAGCACCAGAACAGGCATGACTTGGTGAGGCCCATTATCACACCTTTGGCTGCCTGCCGCAGCCTGCTCCTATAGCTGCACCCTTGCTCCCCTAGGCGTCCTGGGTAACTTTGGACAGCTGGCTGCCAGGGCCTTCCAGCTCAGACAGTGCTGGGAGGGTTTGATGGGCAAGCAGGTCCTTGTTCTCTGAACCAACTCTGTAGGCAGGCTAAGGAGTGCCTGTAGCGGGCAGGTACAACATTCACCACAACCCTAGAAAGCCAGGCCTGCAGTGTTGGATACCTAGCTATGTATGGCATGAAATCTTCAAGCGAGACCATGAATGGTCTTCTAACCTTCTAGCTACTCTCACATCTTGATGGTGCAGTCAGGTGAGTCAGGAAATGCTTTAGAGTGTTAACCCATTTGTGGGTCGAGACCCCATTGGGAGTTGAACAACTCTTTTATGGGGGTTGCATATCAGATATCCTACATATCAGATATTTAAATTACAAATCATAACAGCGGCAAAATTACAGTTATGAAGTAACAACAAAATAATTTTATGGTTGAGGGTCACCACAACAGGAGCAGCTGTATTAAAGGGTCACAGCACCAGGAAGGTTGAGAACTACTGCCTTAGAGTCTTAGAAGTCTCTAGGTCAATTCTTTCTCCTCCTGAAATGGAAAGAATTGGCTCAGCCATACCCATAGGGTAGTTTGGGTCAGGCCTTACTGCCTCGTGGCCTTCGTTTGCCTGCCTTTCTTCCTTACCTTCTCTATAGCTCTACTAAATAAATTCTTGTAACATATTAGGTGTCAAATCCCTGAGTGTCTAACCTTTGGGTGTCATGCCCTAGAGCAGAGAGGTCACCATCCTGCTTTCTGCTGGAAGTTGGGGGCACAATGTGGCTGAGCTGCAGGTAGACAGTATCTACATTGGAGATGTTCCTGAGGCCACCCCATATTTACTGAAGCAAGAACCAAGGTCCTATTTTCAGCATGATTTCCCATTCACAGGCTAAATATGACACACGTAGATACCTGAGATCATGACAACCTAATGAAGGGCAGCCATATCCCCACTGATGGAGAAAACCAAGGCCTGGGGAAGAAGACCTGTTGTCTGTGTATAATACATTTCAGCATAGGGCTAAACACACACCTGGTTTGTTCAGGTCTAGCAACCACAACCCAGGGCCTCTGACACTTAGAGGTAGGGCTTGGCAGAAGACACAGCCTTCTGCCACACTGACTTACTCCTGCCTGTGAGGGCATGTCCTCTGGTCCATGACAGTGTTCATCATTCATTGGAATCTGCGTGAGGCCAGACCCTGCCTCCCAGTTTGTAAACATGGGGTGTGTGTCCCGGTGACTGCAAGCTCACGAGGGGGCGGCAAGCAAGCCGGCTGCACAGGTCCTGCGGCCTCACGACTCCTGGTTGCCCAACTGGCGGCTGGGGGCGGGCTGTGGCCTCTGATTAAAGGCTGCCTGGAGCAGCCTGTACAGAGACAGGTGCCCAGCAGCCCAGGAAGCCAGCCGAAGCCTGCCCCAGGTAAGCCAGTATGGTGGGGGTTGGGTGGACAGTACCATGAGCCTGAAGGTATGTAGAAGCCAACCTGAAGCAGCATTTGTTTGGTAGAGGACCCTTCATGTCAGTTTTCTCTGGTGCCTGCTACCCAAAGGTAGAAAGCAGGGCCTAATGCCTGAGGCTCCCAGCCAAGGTGTCTCCAGCAAGAGGCTGGGCCAAGGCTCTATTTGTGGACTATAACTGCCTCCCTCTTTGATGGGGACTAGGGGCTAGATCTGGGCCTGGCAGCAAAAGGGAGCGGGGCCTGGGCTGAAGTCTAGGCACAGCAGGCCTTTCTTTTATGCCTGGTTAGGTGGCAGGACTAAGATTAACTGCAGAGAGGCCTGGGGAAGGAGGAGGAGCAGGGATGGACCGCAGTAACAGATCTTGGTCACTTGATCTCAGCTCCATGGAAGTCCCTTAAAAGTATCCCTGGAAACTATGCCTAGCACTAAAAGCCCAATGAGCTGGGGTGGAGCAGCAAGAAGTGACGCTCTGAGTGACAGAGCTTTGAGCTGAGGGGCTGTGGGCAACAGGGCCTTGCTTCCATTTCTTTAGCCCTCTGGCTTATGCCACTTGTTCTGGCAGCTTTAGGCCTCACTGTTCCTGTGAGAACATCAGCATGTCTGAGCCACCCCGGGCTGAGACCTTTGTATTCCTGGACCTGGAAGCCACTGGGCTCCCAAACATGGATCCTGAGATTGCCGAGATATCCCTTTTTGCTGTCCACCGTTCTTCCCTGGAGAACCCAGAGCGGGACAATTCTGGTGCTCTGGTGCTGCCCCGTGTGCTGGACAAGCTCACACTGTGCATGTGCCCCGAGCGCCCCTTTACTGCCAAGGCCAGTGAGATTACAGGTTTGAGCAGTGAAGGTCTGATGCAGTCCCGGAAGGCTGGTTTCAATGATGCTGTGGTGCGGACACTGCAGGGCTTCCTGAGCCGCCAGGAGGGCCCCATCTGCCTTGTGGCCCACAATGGCTTCGATTACGACTTCCCATTACTTTGCACAGAGCTACAACGTCTGGGTGCCCATCTGCCCCAAGACACTGTCTGTCTGGACACACTGCCTGCATTGCGAGGCCTTGACCGTGCTCACAGCCATGCCACCAGGGCTCAAGGCCGCAAGAGCTACAGCCTGACCAGTCTCTTCCACCGCTATTTCCAGGCTGAGCCCAGTGCTGCCCATTCAGCAGAGGGTGATGTGCATACGCTGCTTCTGATCTTCCTGCACCGTGCTGCTGAGCTGCTTGCCTGGGCAGATGAGCAGGCCCGCAGCTGGGCTCACATTGAGCCCATGTATATGCCACCTGATGGTCCAAGCTTTGAGGCCTGAATGCCAGTGTCATCCATTCATCTATGCTCTGAGACATGTTCTTGCTCTCTGCAGCACCCACCTGGCCTTCCTCAGCCCTGGCCTACCTGGCCGTAGGATCGCAGGGCCTCCTGTGTGCCTCACCTCCAGTGTGCCTCACCTCCAGTTGGACACCCTCTGGTCAGCCTGGGATCCTGCAGGTTGCTTCTTCAGGGCTTCCGCCTTTTGTCCCACTTCTCAATAAATATCACCAACGCTTTACCAGCTGACTTACTGGCCAGACTTCTCTCTACTCATACCCAAAACCACCCCACCAAGGCACAGATGGGGGCCATGCTGGCCTGACTCTGTGAATGTGTAGAGGGGAAGATGTCAGTATGGAGGATTCTCCAAGGGGCTTAGGTTAGGTTGGGGCACTGGACCCTGAGCCCCTGGCTACCTCTCTGGTATGGTCCCTTTGAGTGTTGCCCCTTTCTGTTAGGTCCTTAGGATAAGCAGGCTGAATCCTCCAGGGACTGAACTGGAAGGACAACTACAGTCTCAGTCCACATGTTCCTCAAAGGCCAGTTTCAGCTTGTTCTCCTGTGTCCCTGCTCTGCAAAGTAGCAGTAGTGAATTGATGTAAGGCACTGGGGAAAACAGGTATCTCTTCATTTGTGGACATGACACATGGATGCCACAGGAGGAGAAGCCACCCTGGCAGACTAGGGTGCCAAGCTGATCTGAGGCATAGAGGAGACATGGTTTGGCACATAGGGTGCCACCCAGAATGGAACTCATCCAGGTCTCAGATCCTTCATGGAGTGGTTTGGGTGGGCAAATTCTCATCAACTACCTCAGCTGGACTTTGGGTTTCTGGTGAGCTGCCTATGGGGCCCCACCCCGAGGCACTCCTGTCTTGTGGGAAGTCAGACCAGGTAAGAGCTGTGTCACCAAGTACTGGGTCAAGTAAGAAGAGGTGGGTGACCACACCCCAGAGTGATTCAAATGAGCAAAACTTCCAGCCTCAATTGAGCCAGCCTGGCCCATTTGACAACCCCTAAGTAGGTCAAAATGACTAGAGAGACTGCACTGTGTTGTGTGTGGTGGTGGGATGGTGAGGCCAGAGCACTGATGATGGCTGCATCACAATAGTTTGGCCTGGCTGAGACTGAGGGCAATGGAGGTCACAGAGGGTTGTGTCTAAAAGAGAGGCAAAATCTGATTTGTGTGTTTGTTGTATTTCTCAGGCTGGATCCCTTTACCTTTTGGCCAGGTGGACAGCCTATAGCAGAACGTGGTACCCTTAGAATGCTGTCCGTGCTACTAAATAATGGCAGGTTAGAAAGGCTCAACTCCAGCATCAGTTGCCTGCCCTATCTGTGCTTATGACACCTCCACAGTGGTCTCGTTTTGTACTTTTCCCTCCCTGAGGCTGAGGTGTCTGTCTCAGCCATTCAAATGCCCTTGGCCTCCTGGTAGTCCGGTCTTAGATGTCCCAAGTCTTTCATGCCTACTCAGACTGGTCAGGCTAAGCATTGTCTTTCTATTATTAACACAGACAAGCTGAGACCTGCCTCCAAAGCAATAATTTATGCCAACTCACTTGCCAGGAAAGAAGTATTTAATTCAGTGTGTGTGTGTGTGTGTGTGTGTGTGTGTGTGTGTGTGTGTGTGTGTGTTTCCCACACATG